CCGCCACCACCGCCACCATCGCCCCCGTCCCCGTCCCGCCCGCCGCCGTGTCCCGCCCGCCGCTGCTGGTGCTGGTGCTGCTGCAGCGCCGCCCCGCGCCGCCCGCCCCCGCGGCCCCGCCGCACAAGATGGCGGCCGGAGGGAGCGGCGGCGGCCCCGGCGGCCTCTCCTCCTCCTGCCCGCAGCCGCCGCCGCCCCCGCCGGGCAACGGGGCCGCGGCCGCCGCCTGCACCAACGGCGCGCCCGCCTCGCCGCCCGGCCTCACCTACAACCAGAGCGGCGCCGCCGCCAACCCGCCGCCGGCCGGCGGAGGCGCGGGGGGCCCGGCGGCGGCGGCGGCGGCGGCGGGGGCGGCGGGGGCGGCCGGCGGGGCGGGCGGTGCCGGCGGGGCGCTGCAGCGGGAGCCGGTGTACAACTGGCAGGCGACGAAGCCGACGGTGCAGGAGCGGTTCGCGTTCCTCTTCAACAACGAGGTGCTCAGCGACGTGCACTTCCTGGTGGGGAAGGGCCGCGGCTCGCAGCGCATCCCGGCGCACAGGTGGGGCGGGGGGGGGTCCCGTGCGGGGGGCTGCGGGTCAGGGTGGGGGGGGGGTCCCGATGGCCCCGCGTCTCGGGAGGGTCGCGGGGGGGCGGCCCGATGACCTTGCGGGAGGGGGGTCCCCTCACCGCCCCCCCCCCCAAAGGTGCTCCTCAGATAATTGCCCCTTCTTATCTCCCAAAACTGCCCCTCAGGGATCGCCCCTCAACCTTCCTCGGGGATCACCCACTCATCCCCCGCGCTGCCCCTCAGGGATTGCTCCCGTCGCCCCCCCCACCACCACGCTGTTCCTCGGGAAAATGCCTCCTTATCCTCAGAACTGCCCCTCAGGCATGGTCTCTCATCTCCTTCAGGCATCGCCCCTCGTCCCCCAAAACTGCCCCTCAGAGATGCCCCAGGAGGGCCATGGGTTGGGTGTGGGGGCTCCCCTGCACCCTCGGGGGTGATGCCCCGGCAGGGAGAGGGGATTGCAGGGGGGCAGGGTTTGAGTTTGGGGCAGGGTTTGAGTTTGGGGCAGGGTTTGAGTTTGGGGCAGGGTTTGGGCTGCTGCGCCTCCCCCGAGAGGGGAGAAAGTGGGGTTGGGAAACTGCATCCCACATTTTATCCCCTCGCTGGGGGATACGCACCCGGATCCGGAGCGTGGGACCCCCCCAGTTTACTCTCCAGCACCCTGAGAGGTGACTCTGCCCCTCATCGTGGTCAGTCAGTGTGGCCCCATATCTGTCCCAGTGTCGAGTCTCTCCTCACGGTCCCAGCCCGAGGATGGGTCTGGTGTTTTGAGGTGTGTTTTCCCTGGAGGGATGGTGCGAGTTGGGCAAGCACAGCGCAGAAAACCCCAAATCCCTGGATCTTGCTCGGAAGTAATCCTTGGTTTTGTGGGTAGCGGAGGTGAGGAGGAGCAGTCTCCCAGCCTGCCTGATCCCTGCTGGCAGAAATGGATGGGGGAGAGCGTCGGGGGTGGAAAGGAAAGGGCAATGATTTGAGAAAACGCAGATTTCTGCCACGACGTTTTGTTTTTTAAAATAACCTTTATTGAATCTTTCCCCAAGCCCTGTATTTTGGGGGTGAGTGTGTTAAGAATGACACCTGAGCCCGAGCAACCCCTCGAGTTTGACGCTTAAGGCCGAGCTGCCATTTAAGAGTTGGCAGCTCAGAGGAGCTGGGATTCGCCTCCACCTGGATGATGCAGAACTGATGTGGCTGATTGACACAGGGCTGGATCCTCGAGGATCCGTGTGTGCCACCCACTCCCCACCACCCCAGGAAGGGCCTCCTGAGCAAGAGCTGTTCGCTCAAGAGACCTCACCCCCTTTAATTGGGGTGAGGGAGGGTCCTTGGTGTACCTGGAAGTGCTGCTTGGCAAAGTGCTTGCTCCAAACATCTTCAAACTATCACATTTCTCCGAAGTGCTCCCGTTCCTGGAAGTTCCCCCTTCAGATTTCCCCTTTTCTCACGCTTTCAGAACAAACCACACTTTGTTCCAGGCTGGTTGGAGCGCTCAGGGTGTCAGCTCTGCTCTCTTATAATTTGAAGCTTTTAATTAGTTGTTTGAGTAAGACTTGCTCCTGTCCTGAGAACTAGGCTGGGTGGTGAGGGGCAATGTTCAGCCCAGAGATAAATGGAAAATAAATGAAGCTTTAAAATAATAATAATAATAATAAAAAAAAATTGGGCCCCGAAGTGAGATGCTGCTTAATTGCTCTGAAATCCATCTGGTGCTCTGGGTGGTAAAGATAGGATGGAGTGTGTCACGCCGTGCCATCCCACCTCAGGATTCTATGGCTTTGAGCAGAACTCGCCTGTGTGCTGCTGCAGTTGGGATGTCCTGGTGATTCATGAACGGCCGTGGTTATTTCAGAAACAAGGGAGCCTAAAATAAAACCACCCAGACCCCTCCTGTGCTCAGCTCTCCCACAGCAGCCCGACAGCAGATGATGCTTTGCGCTGGAATTGAGTTGCAAGCGTGGATTTGATTGGAGAGGCACCTTTGGCTTCAGGGACCAGGGCTGGTGTTGGGCCTCTGAAATCATAAAATCACGGAATCACAGTGTTGTTAAGGTTGGAAAAGATGTTGAAGATGGTCCAGTCCAACTGTCAGCCCAGCACCACATTCACCACTAACCCACGTGCCACATCCACACGTATTTTTTTTGAATGCTCCCAGGAATGGTGACTCCACCACTTCCCTGGGCAGCCTGTTCCACTGCTTTACAACCCTTTATGTGAAGACGTTTTCCCCAGCACCTCATCTAAACCTCCCCTGGCACAGCAGCACACGGCTCTCAGGGAAGTGTTGGTGCAGTCTGGTTTTCCTGTGTCAGACCATGCTGGGTCCCAAGCGAGGCTGCAGGAGGAACAGGGTTTTTTGGAGCCACTGTGGGATCCTGTGGCTCAGCAGTTCATACCAAGCTGCAGAGACAGACAGCAGAGCAGCTAAGAGCAAACCTTCATCTTGTGTGTGCGGGCTCAGTTTGTAGATTAATGGTGTAGGTGCCTCTGCTGGGCTGGACTGAAGCTTCTCCCGTCCAAGCATCTGCAGCCCTGAGGAGATCAGATGATGTCCATCTTCAGGAGGCTCCAGACCCCGTGGAAGTCCCTGGGACAGGCTCTGTCTCTGAGCCTTGAGCTGGTTCCCTCTTGCTGCTGAATCAGCCGCGAGGAAGGTGGAAGGGCCTTCATTTTTTAACACGTCAAGGCCAGGCCTCGAAGCGGCGCCGACGTGGCCAAGGTCAGCACGTTGATTTAGGCCCAGCAGCGAGGGGAGAGGGGCTTTTTTTTGTCTTCTTCCACATCTGCTTCATCGAGCCCAACATCAGTGAGATTAGAGATGTCTAAAGCTCGTCACCCAGGAGCTGCACGGGTGTCATAATGAGGCTTGTTAATTGGCCAGAGAACAGGGCTGGTGTGGTGATGCAGCCCTGGGACATCTGCAGCTTGGGAACAGCCTGAGGAGGATCCTGGCTGCTGTTTGCAGGAGTCTCTTCTGAGCTCACCCTGTCTTTTCCTGGACCCTTAGTGACTCTCAGTGCCTGCAGCTTCGTGTGCTGAGCTGTCCCACAGCTCAGCTCCTCTGCAGAGCTGTTCCTGGGGGCTTCTGAACCTGCCTCCTGCTCCTTTCCCCGGGCTCTCCATCCTCTGCAGCCAGCAGGTGATCATCATTCATTAACCTCTCATCACCCCTGGTCTCACCGAGCTCTGTTGCTGTGCCAGCTCCTCAGGAACGGATATTTTAGGGTTTCTCCGCAGAGCAGCGGATGGAGGAGGGAGGTGGCACAGCAGTGCTGGGGTAGTTGTGGTTCCTGAGTGCTTCCTTATATTGCTGGTGTTACCAGTGCCTGGGAAGGGAGCGGGACTGGTGGGGGTGCAGATCAAACCAGGTGGCAGCTGGAGGTGCCCAGGTGAACGTGTAGCAGTGAAGATTTCGGGCAGGAACCATTTTCATCAGGGGCTGGCTGCTCTCTTGGTTCTTTGGCTGTGTCGTGCCGATTTCTCTGCGTCCTTTTAGGGGCCCACTTTGTTTTTGGCCACCAGAGTGTGTTAAAATAACCCTCTGTTGAGTTCTCCCCTCTGAAGCAGAGCCCATCTCTTCCCTCTGCAGGCCTGCTGTTGGATTGTGCATCCCTGCTTTTCTGCTTTTCCTGGAGTGTCTTTAGGGCAGCTCTAAATGTTCCTTTTAGGAAGACTTAAGAAAACACCGTGAAAACAGAGATTTTTTTTTTTTTTTTTTTTAATATTAATTGTGCTCTCCTAATGTTTGAAGAGAACTTCAAAATGTTGAGCCCTGTGTTTCTCTGGCACCTCCTGGGCTCGGCAGTTTACAAAATCTGACTGATTTGTCCCTGAGTGAAAGGAAAGCAAACATTTCAGAGTTTGGTGTTTTTTTTTTTTTTGTTTTTTTTTTAAATGAATGCCCTTTTCAAAAAGCTTCTGAAAGCTCCTGCTCATTGAGGCCCTGTGCTGTGCTGGCTGCGAGGATGAAAATTGGAGAGTTCAATTAATAAATGTTAATTTTGAGGAGCAGACAAAGCTCGCGATTGTCCCGCCGCCGTCACTGCTCTTGGAGGAACAAGGATTTTTGTTTCATCTGGCAGTTCTGGTGTTGTGAGGAAGGTTTTTATTTGTTCCTGATGTTTCTCTTGAGGCTGGTGTGAGGGGAATGTGTGTGTGTGTAGTTTTGGGTGACCGCTGGGGTTTGTCCCCAGCTCCCCGAGCCCATCAGGAGCAATCCAACCAGCTCAGCAGCCACACGAGCCTGGCACGTCCAGGGGCTTCACTCCACTGTGTCCATGGGAAGCCTCCTCTGGATGGGAGGGCGGTGGGAAGTGAGAAAATAAAAAAAAATGCTCTTTAAATGGAAATTTTCCTGCTTTTCAAAGGTCCTTTGGTACTAAATCTGACTGGAATTCCCCTTCAGTGTTGGACTTCCCTTGGGCTGCAGGTGCTGGAGGTTTTTGCCTCACGTCCTGCATGGATTTGTGCCCACAGTTCTTGATCCTTCTCTGTGGAAGTGGGCATCAGACTGCTGCAGCAGGAGCCTGGAATGTTCCAGCTCCTTCCTTTTCCTAGTTGGTGGAGAAGTTGTTGCAGTCACCTTCTGGCTCCCCACACCTTCGTGCCCAGGGCTGGGTTTAAGTTCAGGGAGCTGTGGGATTGCAGGCACCAGCAGTAAGATTAATTTCCTGGCAGGAACTCATCTCTGCACTTTCAAGCAGGGAAAGTTCTCAGAATGGCTTTTCTCAGCCCTAAGGCAGGAACAGCAGCTTAAACTTCCACAGGCCCCCCAGCAGCCCAGGTCTGGACCTCCTCCTAAAGCAGGAGCTGGTGTTCAGCAGGGAGGGAATCATCATCTTGTTCTCGTGGTGGTGGAGTATAATTTTGGCCTCAAACCTGGTTTGTGGAAATTCCCGCTCCCGGTTTCTTTCGGGCTGATAAGGTGTCTCTCCCACGTGAACTGCCAGTGTGTGGGAGGGTCTGTGTGCGCCTCAGGGTGGGGGTTTGCTCTGCCCTCTGGGCTGAGCCTGGCGCAGGTTTTGCAGGGCTGGAGGCAGCAGCCGGCCCAGGGCAGGCACCTCTTGGGCTGCCAGCACAAATTCCTGTGCTGGGAGCTTGCCCTGCTGTCCCCAAGGAAGTGTCCCTGGGGAGGAGGAGAGAGGATGGAGACTGTCTGGTGACAGGTTTCCAGTAGGTGACTGTGTGGAATTGCACCCGGACTGGGGCTCTGCAAGAACCTGAATTCGTGAATTCAGCTCTTTCTCGGCTTCTCAGCCCCCTCCTGGGGAGCAGCCACGTGTGTTGTGTTCCGTGAGGCCCCAGATGTGGCCTGTGGGGACCCTTGGCTGTGCTGTGTGCCGGGACAGGGCTCAGAGGGAAGTTCCTTGCAGCTTGGGTGCTTTGCAGGGGAGGAGCAGCCCAGCCTGGCACTCCCTGCTCTTGCAAAACACTCCAGCTCTAGGAATGATTTGCTTTCCCCGAGGGTGGCTTTGGGGATCAGCAGCAAGCCTGGGATTTTTGCTGGGATTTTTTTTTTTTTTTCTTTCTTTTAAATGGCTGTGATTTAACATCAGGTTGTTGTTCCCTTGTCTTTCCCCCCTAGGTTTGTGCTGGCTGTGGGCAGTGCTGTCTTCGATGCCATGTTCAACGGTGGCATGGCCACCACCTCCACAGAGATTGAGCTGCCCGACGTGGAGCCCGCTGCCTTCCTAGCCCTGCTCAAGTAAGCTGCTCCTGAAGTACAGGAGAACTGGGAAGCAGGGACTTACTGTGGGAAAAAAAAAGTTTCTAATGAAAGCAGGGAGCTGTTCTGCAGAGTGGAGATGGTTCACTTTCTGAATAAAATGCCCCTTTGATCTGTTCAAGGGTGGATGCTGGTGTTAAATCTCCACTTTCTGGGTAAAAGTCAAAATTTGGAGCAAATTCCTTGGGAGAAGAGGGGAAAAGGGATCCTCTGAAAGCTCCCTAAGTTACAAATACCTGGAGCCTGTTCAGGTTATGAGCAAGTTCCAACAGGTAAGCAGGGGTATGAAATTCATGTCAGCCATTCCCTGTGGTTTCACCCTTTGTGTAGGATTTATTCCTCTTTGGGAGAGCTGGATTGGAGTTCCCATTTCCAGTGTGTGTTGCTGGGGAAGGAGGAGGAGGAGGAAGGGGCTGGAACATCCTATCCACCAATTCCTTTAAGCTTGGCTGGTGCTGCACAGCATCCAGCAGCAATCCTGAATGGATGCTGGAAGGGCATTGTCCTGGTTCTATAGGATTTCTGTAACCCACTTCCAGGGCTTTCCAGTCCTGTGCTCTTGACATGTTCCCTGCCTGCTTCCCACTGGGAACAGTGACTATATATAGCTCTGGCACACTTTTTTGCTTTACCTTCAGACAGTGCCTTGGTCGTGCCTGTGCTGTCTGAGAATATTTTACAATTGATCTTGGCTGGAATGAAAGGCCAGAAATAATTGGGAGCCCCGAGCCCCCTCCCCTTTGGCTGCCTTCAAAGCGGGCAGCAGCACGTGGGGAATCCCTCTAATTGGCGTGTGCCTGCCAGGCTGGTGGGTCTCTCTGGAGTGCAGGGTTAGTAGCTCAAATAGCACGTGAATTAGAGGCAAAAAGTCACGTCGTTTCCCTGAGATTTCAGCGCTTGATTGACCTGGTTTCGGAGGAGCCCCGAAGTGATGAGCTTAGGTGGGTTTCAGCTGAGGTGTGGGGGTCTCCTCGGCCCCTCTGAGCCTGCAGCTGAGCTGCCCATGGCCCAGGGACACCTTGGGTTGCCTCAATCCAGAGCTGGAACTGCTGCTTTTGAAGTGCTCAGAGCTGGAACGCGCCAGAGGAGCTTTGGGTGCTGGAGCTGACCAAGTATGTGGTGTGAACCTTCCCAGAGCGACCCCAGCCCCTCCAGACGCTGATATGGAGTGGCAGCTGATCCTTACATGTGTCTCTGGACCTGGTCCAAGCCATGATCTAATGCTGTAGGATCAGGAGCTTATCCAGGGACAGGGTGCCCATCCTGAACCTTCTGCAGAAGGTCCCGTCTGGGTGCTGGATTGTGGTGGTGTTTGTGGCTTAGTGGCCTCTAAAAGATCTGCTGCAACTGTGTAAGAGCTCCATTTTTATTATTATTATTTCCAAGGTGACTCAAAGATAAGAACCCTTTTGGTTGCCCGGGATTATAATCTAAGTGTTCTTTTAAATTGATAGCAAACTTTCTCATGGCTCAGGCCTGTCCTGTGCCCTTCAGCACCCGCTGTTTGGAACTGCTGTAAGCAGAAATACAAACGTGATGCAAAAAGAGACACTCACACAGTCGTTGCAGTAAATAAATAGTTGGGTTTAGATCCACTGTGTTCTTTTAATCCCGGAATAAAAGGGATTGCTCAGTGAAAATGGGGCTGGGAGGGGATGTGTGCAAAATACATGGATGAACCTGATGCTGCTATTGACTGATGCTGTGGGGCAGCACAAAAGGCTGCTTTCAGCACAGAGAGTGCTTCCCTTCCTGTGAATCCCGCTGTTTGTGCCTCCCTGAACGGCATCCTGGCCCTCTGTGGCTGGAGGAGCAGGAGTTCCACCGCTGCAGATGGGAATCCTGCCTGGCATCCCGCTGGAAAAGCCCTC